TACGTCCCGAATTAGGTAGATATTATCCACCATGGACCTGCTTGGGACACAATAGGTCTGATCCCGGTGGATAACCTGCTCCATAGCCTTCCCCAGCCTCGTGGCCAGGGCCTTGGAGAGGATTTTGTAGTCGGTGCAGAGGAGGGACACGGGGCGCCAGTTCTTAATGTCCTGCAGGTTCCCCTTTTTGGGCAGCAGGGTGATCACTGCCCTGCGGCAGGACAAGGGGAGTGAACCAGTAAGCATGCTCTCGTTGTAGACGTCCAGCAAGTCTCGGGCCAGAAGATCCCAGTAGGCCTTGTAGAACTCCACAGTGAGCCCGTCAACGCCTGGGGACTTCTGGCCCTGCATGCCGAGGAGGGCTGCGTGGAGTTCCTGGAGCCCCAGAGGGCGCTCCAGCTCGATGTTGGTCTCCTCGGAGACCTGAGGCAGTTCGTCACAGAACTCCTTCAGCAGTTCCTCGTTCTCTTTATATTCGCTTTGGAACAGAGAACGGTAAAAACCCACAGCCCTCCTCCTGATCTGCTCTGGTTCACTCAATTGCTGCCCCGTGTCCGACAGCAAAGAGTGGATCTGCTTCCTCTGCCCGTGCTTCCTCTCCAAGCTGAAGAAAAAAGGTAGAGGGAGCATCCATCTCCGTGATGTTCTGGATCCGGGACCTGGCCAATGTCCCTTGGACTTTATTCTCCAGCAGGTTGGCTAAAGTTAGCCTTTTAGATTTGAGAGCTTCAATATGCTCTCGATTTCCTGTGGATTCACTAAGTCGTTCTAATTCCACAATGTTTATCTCCAGATCTCTGATAGATCTGGTAATGTCACGGGTGACGTTGAGAGTGTGCTGTTGACTCAGCAGTTTTATCTGAACTTTTCCATAGTCCCACCACTGTTTAAGACTAGTAAAATCAGACTTTCTCTGTCTAAAACCCATCCAAAAATAACCTAAAATCTCTTTAAAACCCCGATCATAAGTTAAAGCCGAGTTAAAATGCCAGTAAGCGCTTCTAGGTGAAATGTTTCTTATAAAAACACTACCTAAAAGCAAAGAATGATCGGTAAAAGCCACCGGTAAAATCTGGCATGTTTTAAACACATTAAAATTGTGCTTAAAACAATAAAAACGATCAAGACGGGCTAAAGAGATTTTATTTTCTTTAATGTGGGACCATGTGTACTGCCTGGAGCCTGCATGCATCCTCCTCCATACGTCCACCAGGCCATGAGACGAGACCAGCTGCCGCAGAACATGTTGGGCTGCTGGATGCGGCTCTGCATGATTACGATCTAAAAACTCGTTTTCTGTACAATTAAAATCCCCACCAATAAAAACATAATCTTCCGACCCACAATCACCCGCCCTTTCCCCAATTTTCTCAAAAAAACGCTTTTTCTCTGCATTGGTACTGTGAGCATAAATATTGATAAAAACCAGGCTAAAATGATCAAATTTGGTTTTGACTAAAAGACACCTCCCTTGAACGACTAGTTCGACTTCTGTGGAGTTTGGGGTGAAAGCTCTGGAAAACAGAAACCCCACCCCTGCACTCTGGGAGGTGCCGTGACTTAAAATGACCTCCCCCCTCCACTCTCTGCCCCAGTCTGTTTCTATTAAAGAATCACTGTGAGTTTCTTGTAAAAAAACGATGTCAATTTTTTTTTGGTTTAATGTTTGGTAAATTAGAGCACGTTTCTCAGCTCCCCTCGCCCCGTTAAGATTCAAAGATGCAATTTTAAAAGA